AACATTTTCCTTTAGGTAGGGGTGGGGGATATGAGGACTTTGAATAGGAATATGGTTGGCCTGGTGAGATCTGAAAATAGGCATGCCGTTAGGGACATATTAAAATGAATAATGAATCAGCAAAAAAATATCCTGCTCCCTCCCCCTCCTCAGAATATCAAATAGTCATCCCCTTACTGTTATTGTTCATGTAGTTTTTGTATTTATCCAGTTTATCGTCCCTTTAGGGATGTTCTAAGGCCGAAATACAATAAAAAAAACGTTAATAACACAGCACACATTCTATGATACATGCATTCATAAATTTATTAATGTCATTTAGACTAAACGACGCCATGTTTGTTATGTGTCTCTGCCGTCTAAACCACCTATTTAAAAAGAAGAGGAACAGAAGACCTTCCCAATGCAAAAAAAAAAACAGAATTGGGCACCTTCTGGCTCACTACCGAAGAACAAAAAAACAAGCCCTTGACTTATTGGTTCAACTCCTCTAATTTTAATAAATTCAAATTTCAAAGTCGCAAAATTTGCGTTCATGTTTGCCATTATTGTGTCGACTCGTTGAATATTATGATATTTAAATTTTAATAAATATTGGAAGAAAAACAACCGAAAAGACCATGGCCAAAAGACGAACAGACAGTCATTCCACCAATACAACATGGAAAACTTGTGATTAAGCAATCAAGCCAACCCAGCCAATCGCCAGTGGGAACACATGTGTCCCGGAAGGATTAGCACTTTCAACTCTAGTGGCACCGATCAATTTTAATTTATCTCTATTGTGTTTTACATATGTTGTTTGTCCTTTGATTGTTTTTCGTTTTTTTGGTCATGGCATTGTAAGTTTGTTTTTAAGTTTGAATATCCCTACGGTATCTTACGCCTCTCTTTACATGATAATACAGTCCAATCATTCTCTGTCTGAATATGTTTGAAAAATTACTTGCTGGACATTACCCGTCCTTCCATTCATCATTATCATTAATTACATATTCAAAAAAGGGTGTCACAGAACCATGTGTCTTGCCCCTGACTACTGTTGACAGTGTCAATGTGTAAACATTGAATGCCAAGAAAACTAAGTTTACCTTTCAGTAACATGGAGAAAAATAAATAACAAAAAAAAAATCAAATTTTTCTCAGGGTCCTAAATTGGTTATGAAGATGCTTCTGTCGAATTTTTGAATTTCAATGTAGATCTAAAATTTTTATCAAGTTTTAAAATCTTACAAATAAATGTTGACTGCAAATAAAAACCAAAAAAACTTAAGTCCATTTAAAAATTAAAAAAAATATTAGGTGGTTTTACTATATGTGATAATACAGAAATTACTGTTCTGTTAATAGTTTTTGCTGTTAACTTCATCTTTATCTCTTCTCTTTTCAGGGCCAAATTTGCAAAAATAGCAAAAAATCGTCATTAAGGTGCAATGAGTCTTTTATGGAGTCCACTGTAAATTTCAGCAATAAAGACAGATTTGTAGATCTTGTCCTGTTGATCATTTTTGGCATGCTAAAGTTTCTCTGTTCCTATTATAGTTTTCAAGATAAGAAGCAAATATGCCAAAAATGATAAAAAAAAATCATCATTTAGGGGCAATTACTCCTTCAAAGAGTTGACCAATAATTTCATACATTTGTAAATCTGGTCTTTCAGATCATTCTATATTGCTATTATAATTTTCAAAATAAAAGCAAAACAAAATGTAAATATGGTCAGGAATTGGTAATACTTTAGTAACTCTTATAAGGAGTGGTCTGACAGTATGTGAATCCAAAAATTTGGAACATTCATGCACCTGTCTAATTTCTCTATCTATAGCTGTATTCAATTATTGCAATAAATATTTTTTTTTTATCAGAGTTCATTTGTCTAATGTTGTTCAATATATTGTGAAAAGGGCTGTCCAAAGTATTTTAAACAATTGTACAATATACGCTACCTTAATCTAATTATGCAGTACAAAAGCAACAGACATAAAAATCAGACCTAAGGGATCATAGATTTATTCTTAGGAGCAAGCTCGGAGGATGCTCGGAGCTTTTTAGGTAGGCTCTTCTCAGCAGTTAATGTGACAATAATTATCATGATCCATTAAGATGACAATCAAATCTACACCACTTCTATGATAAGGAGAGTAGAGCATTATAGAGGAAGCTCCATAAACACCTGTGTAAACATCTGGTCTATTCAAATACATTTTGCATGAAATTTTACAAAACTATAAAATAGATTAGAATTTATTCTTCAACAGTGCTGTGTTATGCTGGGAAAGAAATCTCAAGTCTCCACAAAAAGTAAAAGTCATTTAAATATTTTCTTATTATATTTAATAATCATTCCTTTTTTTATAATAAAAAAATTCTCAAATTTTATAATTAGATGATATGATTTAGAAATAGTTTATATTATATAATATGCTACATAAAAGTTATCAAGACACAAACAACAGTCAGGTGGCGATACTAAACAAGTTATTTTTTTTTAGTCACTTTTATAAGTATTTTTTGTTTTTTTAAAATTATTTAATAACTCAATAGTTATTTTAAATGTCAAAATAAAGCATGGACTAAATGTAGTTTTTAAGAATTTTTATATCATTTCATTAAATGAAATTAAGTATTTATCCAATTTTAGATGAGTATAGAGAGGTTACTTTAAGAAATAATGACAAAAATATTACTTTAATAAATTATTTTATACAACTTAAAAAAACTTAGTACTTACAATTATTTAAGGAATATATGTAATTGCTTTTGATTAAGATTCAAATTATAAATAACTTCAAGTTTAATTAAATGTTCCATATCTAGTTATAACTGTCTATCTCTAAGATTTTAAGGGGAAATGATATTTTAATAGCCCCAAGAGGCCAATCTTTGACCAAGAAGTGTGGCATCAGAAAAGCAATCAGTGCTTGTTGAGGATTTAAATAGTTTTACCGGTATATTTCATGGGGAAAATAACCAGATGTCTGTGAAAATTTGTTAAAGCTAGTAAAACCTTTATGAATGGACACCTATAAAAATAATATTAACAGAAGTTACTTAATATTCATGATATAGAAGTAATATTCTAAACAGCCTCGTTTTCAACATAACTTGTATAGGTAATTTTGAAAATTACTTGGTTAAGTAATGCCCCTAACTAAACAATGGAAATATGTTTTTTTTGAAATAGCAAACTAAGTTCTTTTATAGAAAATTATGGCTACTTTAAGAAAAGTTGTAATTCATTAGTGGAAGCCTGGTTTGAGGGGGTAATACCACCATTGTTTTTCCCTCTAGTACGTCTCTCTTTACTTGGCATTTTTTTTTTTAATTGTGCAGATTTAGCTTTGTTTTAAATAAAGAAAAACTTGGCATGAGTAAAATTATTTTCTCCCTATAAGTCTTTGTTTAATTGTCATGATTGTTATATTTCAAAAAAAAAATGTGCAGAATTTATCTATGTTTTAAAAAAAAATATACTTGACATAAATAAATGTCCTGTATTACAGTGAAAATATAGCATAACTTTTCAGTGCATATAAGAAAGTAAACATCACCAGAAGTTAACCAATCAAATTCTCTATCTCTTTTTTCCCTATAGTATATACAACAAATATACTATATGTTGAATATAGTATATTTCTATTGCTTTGAAACACCCAAGAAAAATGTTTACGACTCAAAAAAACTTTTCTGCAATGAAATGGAGGGTTAATTTTAAACAACTGTCAAATTAAATGGAATATAAAAAAAGATCAACCCTTTTTCGCATGAAACTGAATGTACTATGTTTTGGAAGTATGGTTATAAATCAATAACCATAGTTTGTGTCTTTGATGACTTTTATATTTCATTTTATATAGTATAAATTTAAAATATATTTATATTTCAAATATAAAATTTGAGTGTTTTTTTGTATCATGTGTATTGAAAAAGAATGATAATTATTAAGAAAATGTTTTAAAATCATTTTCTTTCTGTGAAGACTTGATACCAAGCATTGTACAGTAATAGTGAAGAATTTCTCATCTATTTTATAGTTTTGTAAAATTAATGCAAGATTTGTTTGAATAGACCAGATGTTTACACAGGTGTTAATGGAGCTTCCTCTATAATGCTCTATTTTCCTTATTATAAAAGTGCTATAGATTTGATTAACATCCTAATGGATCATGATGATTATTGTCACATAAACTGCTGAGAAGAGCCAATTAAAAGCTCCGAGCATCCTCCGAGCATGCTCGGAGCTTCCTCGTAAGAATAAATCTATGATCCCTAACTCATAAGGAAACAAGAATGTGCCCTTAGTACACGGATGCCCGACCCACACTATCATTTTCTATGTTCAGTGGACCGTGAAATTGGGGTCAAAACTATAATTTGGCATTAAAATTAGAAAGATCATGTCATAGGGAACATGTGTACTAAGTTTCAAGTTGATTGGACTTCAACTTCATCAAAAACTACCTTGACCAAAAACTTTAACCTGAAGTGGGAGACTGTGGGACAGATGGACAAACAGACGAGCGAACAAAAAAAAAACATTATGCTCCTAAGTGGGGCATTAAAATGTGCGGTTGAAAAGAGCTACAAATATCAGCCTTCAAGCTAGCTTAAATTGTGTGTCCTAACAGTTTGAAAAATTAAAAATTCAATAAATATAAGATTTTTTGTCTTTTTCCTTTTTAGCCATGGCGTTGTCAGTTTATTTTCGATCTATGAGTTTGACTGTCTCTCTGGTATTTTTAGCCTCTCTTTTAAAAGTATACTTCATGTTTGGAGCAAATTATACTAGGTATTTAAGAAACTAGAGGTGCAGGTAAGCACTAGTACAAAAAATACACATCATAGATCATATAAATATATAGATATATAGGTTTTTGCCCATAAATCTTTAGTAGTCTTCATAAAAAACAATATCTCGATAAGTCTTTTTTTTTTTACTTACACACATTAAAGACACTGTCAACTGACCTTTAATGACATTACAAAGAATGAACACAATATAGTTTTAAAAACAAATTTATTGCATAAACACATTTGATATTTCCTTATTTCTTCATTACATATCAGTTTACTTACAAAAATACTTACATTTTTTCAAGATCAGTACACTTGTTATCATATTTCAATAATTGTACTGAATTCTTCAGGAGTTCTTAAGGGCATACATAACACTTAAGGGAGTTAACTTATAACTTACAATACCAAATGGTTTGTGCTTAGAACTCTCATGCAAATATAAACATGGTTATGCATTTAAGGTATGCAATTAAGTAGAGTCCACTGTATCTATGCAAAACAGTTTAGACTATTTATAGTTATAAAGCCAATGCCCACTGAAGTTGTGTCAATAAGCCTTAAGCAATGAATCATAAAATTACAGAGATATTGGGGTATCAGTGAACAGATTAAAACATTTTTATAATGTGATCAAATATACTATCGTATATAAATTGTAATCAGATCTAAATTCGATTTTTTAATTGTCAATGATTTTGAGATAATATAAGTATACTTTGAAGCAGATAGACAGGAATTGAAAATTAGTTTAATTTAATATAAAGAAAACAGAAGGTAATAAAAATATATTGCATTCAATTCTTAAAACCCTCCCATGAACAGCAATTTTTATTGAAATATTAATAACCATGTGAAACCCTGACTTTTGATTTCTGGTTTTACGGAATTACATATAATTGAATACAAAAAAAAGAGTCTTACAAGTATGCCTCCATACTCCCCCCTAAAAATGTACTTATATAAGACTTACAGTTACATGCCCTTCAATTGTCTTTCAACAAAAAGAAAAATAATGTAAACTTATCTTAATCTTGTAAAAATTCAAATAATGCTTGTTCTTAAACAATAATCAATAAAAATTAATACAGACATAGCACATTTTTATAATATCACAGTCTTTATGATAAATGTTTAAGTCATTTGTGATCACTACTTCTGAGCGCTAGAGGCTTCCTCTATAATCTCCTTTCTGTAAAATGTTATTGTATGTCCAACCATCACCATCTTTCTTGAAATACTGCAAAAGAAAATTACAAATTAACTGTTAGAAACTCAGGTCTATATAAGCTAATGAGTTTAATTGTACTCTGCAGATCTAACGATGAGGTAAACAAAATAAAATAAACTTAAATACTCATGACGAAGTCTCTTTCAATCATCCAATACAAAAGTTTGCAGAGTCTGTGATTTGCCAGGGGATTTATCATTATGATAAAGAAAATAACATGATATGCAAGGGTGTTTACTATAGAGGTTTAATGATTGATAAATAGCTGTTTAATGTCCAGTGGCAAGTAAATTGCATATTTAGGACAAGGACATGTCATTGTAATATGTATATGAATTCTGCTTTGTACTAGACTGATAATCTGAGCTGGATTTAGAACAAGCTACTTCAAAGGGAACAGTCCAGAAGAGGATTTGTTTTCCTATCCAGGACACATGGTTCCTACTTCAGGTCAAAGTGTCTGCAAAATTCAGTTAATTTGAAATTTTCAAGTTAGCTTGGCACAATATGTTTACGTCGAAAACGCAAGTCTGGCATACAAAATTTCAATCCTGTTATCTATGGAAGTTTATTTGCAGGTTGTTTGTAAGCAATCTGATTAAAATACAGATCAGTGTCTGCGCTTACAAGATCTATCACAAGTAGTTCCTATCAAACTGACTTAAGTTAAACAGAAAACCTAACATCGAAAAATTGCTAATTAATTCAAAGTCATTGAACTATGACCTAGAGGGCAGGGCTTCAATTAGTCATTTAACTGATATTAACTGATAATAATGCAACTTTATAGAAAATATCATTGATCTATTTCAAGTAGTTCCTATTAAACCAACTTCAGCAGAAAACTTAACATTGAAAGTTGATTATTAATTGAAAGTTGCTGGACCATGAACTAGGGGACAGGGACTGAAATAGTTGTTAAACTGATATTTATTGATAGTAATGCAACTTTATAGAAAACATCTCAGGCCTCTACAATAACTTTTTTTTTCAACTTGTCCAATAGGACAAGTACATACCAAAACTTACTTGTCCGAATGGAATTGTAACTTGTCCAAAAAAAAACCTTTATATTAACCTTTTTTGCATTTTAGGTTGATTCAATGAACAAAATGAATTAAAACATTAGAGCAGAATTTGATTTATATCTCTTGATATCATTTTCAAAAATATGAGTCGAGAACAACTGAATCTAGTCATGTCAGGTCACAGGACTTAGGTTCTAGTTTTCATCAATGCCAAAGTCTCATCAGACTCTGCACATCAAGCACAGTCTGGTAGGTCTGTCAGTCTACACTCATTTGGTTTGTATCCTGGTCTTTTATGTTGATAAAATATTGATTATTATGATTAATGCCCTACTACAATCAGCTTTGTATTTAATATCTTAAAATGTTAATTCAAACACAATCAAATATTGTTTGTCTAAATATGATCAAATATGATTTTCTGAATTCTATGGTCAATAATTTCTTCATTTCTATTTTTAAAATAGTTTTGTTAAATAAAATTTATCAGACATTTATTATAAAGCAACAGAATAGCGTAAGGAAACCAGGTACTGGTTTGTCTTGGTCCCGAAATGTCTCCAACAGTGCCGGACTGTCTATTAAACATGGAGCAGATTGGTTTCCCTGCCGGTGCTGAACTGTCTTGTTATCTAACAAACAAAGCCATTGCTGATTCCGATTGGTAAGACTGGTTTTCGAGAATAGTATGCCTTTTATCTGTTATAAAGTATCTGACAAAGAACCAGTTTTAAATTATCGATCACAAGTACACATGTCAAATTAATATTTGTTTTTATCTTCTTTTCTTGTTTTTTTGTTTATTTCTTTGATCATTAAAGTTGGAATGAACTTATTTTCTACAGAATGATTTTACTTGTCCTGTCGGACAAGCTTGATATGGCTTTTACTTGTCCAACTTTTTTTCCTCTGATACCGGACAATCGGACAAGCGTTATTGTTGAGCCCTGCATCTTTTATCTATCACAAGTAGTTCCTGTGAAACTAGATTCAGCAGAAAACTAAATATTGTTGATACCAGCGATGACAACAACAACGCCATGTTCACAGGAAAAGCAACACCTATGTCTCTACTTCCACAACTTACCTTGCAGGTGTGACAAAAAACTGTTCCACAGAATTGCAACCATTTCAACAAGAGTGCACACGCTGAAATGTCTCGCCTTCTTTACTAATCATTGATATTAAGTTGATAGTCCTAAATATAAAGCTTTATTACAACTGTCACATAAACTTAACATTAACCAAGTAAACTAAACACTGACCAATGAACCATGAAAATGAGGTCAAGGTCAGATGAACCATGCTAGGCAGGCATGTACAGCTAACAATTCTTCCATATATACAACAAATATAGTAGACCTATTGCATACAGTATAAGAAAAACAGACCAAAACACAAAAACTTAACTATAACCACTGAACCATGAAAATGAGGTCAAGGTCAGATGACACCTGCCAGTTGGACATGTACACCTTACACTCCTTCCGTACACCGAATATACTAGACCTATTGCTTATAGTATCTGAGATATGGACTTGACCACCAAAACTTAACCTTGTTCACTGATCCATGAAATGAGGTCGAAGTCAAGTGAAAACTATCTGACGGGCATGAGGACCTTGCAAGGTACGCACATACCAAATATAGTTATCCTATTACTTATAATAAGAGAGAATTTAACATTACAAAAAATCTTAACTTTTTTTTCAATAGTCACTGAACCATGAAAATGAGGTAAAGGACATTGGACATGTGACTGACGGAAACTTCGTAACATGAGGCATCCATATACAAAGTATGAAGCATCCAGACCTTCCATCTTCTAAAATATAAAGCTTTTAAGAAGTTAGCTAACGCCGCCGCCGCCGCCAGATCACTATCCCTATGTCGAGCTTTCTGCGACAAGTCGCAGGTTCGACAAAAACTACAACTTATGCTTACCTTAGTAGGATACTGAGTATTTGTTTCTTTTCTGTGTCGTTCTCCTTCCCTCTGTCTTTCTTCCAACTAAAGAATAAAAAAAACATGAATAATCAAATTGATAGGTCATGTAAATGAGGATAAAAAGTAAAAAATAAGAAAACGTAAATTGAAGTTCACACATCAATAAAAGATTTAATTCAATTTTGCAAAACTTAAAAATCATTTTAATCAAGTATATACATATATATATATATATAGGTACATGGTTTTGAGACAACAAAACTGTATTTGAATAAATTGAGAGGTGAGTTAATATGTAAACCAGTGTTCCAGCTAGGATTTGAAAATAGAGGGGCGCGTTTTTAAAAAAGGGCGCTTTAGCGCGTTCTCACTGAAAAAATCAAATACTTAATATTACCACATAATGACATATTTTTAGCAAGCATGTAGCTAAGTTAAATACTCTATACTATTACATACACTGAAAATTGTGTAGGTTTGGTTGTGAATTTAAATAAGAGTGCCAATGAGACAATTGTCTTTATTTCGATCTTGAGAAATAGATTAATTCAACAAATAAGTTTGTTAATTCAACTTTGAAAGTTTATTATCAATTCAACAAGCATCTCCGTATATTTCATGTTGAGCGTATCTATTAATATCAATAAGTTTGTCAAAACGGATTTCAATAAGAAAATTGATACAAAAATCAGACTTTCGACAGCTCCGTAATCGGCACAATTATAAAATAATTCCACTTTGAAAGTTTATTATCAATTCAACAAGCATCTCCGTATATTTCATGTTGAGCGTATCTAATAATATCAATATTAAAGTTAGTCAAAACGGATTTCAATTTAAGAAAAATGATATAAAAATCGGACTTTCGACTTTCGAGTGCTCCGTAATCCGGAATTTACAATAGAAGAACAATTGCGATATCTGATAGAAACCTTTCTTCTTCTCGATTTTTCATAAAAGTAAAGAATTAAATTATTTTTTTACCTTTGATGGTCATTATTCTTGAAAAAAGATGTAATAGACTGGCAAGTCTTTGATATTTTCTTCTTGTCATTTTCGAGTTGGTCAATTTTTCTTTTTCGTCGGCATTTTGCGTGTTGACGATTTACAATATACTATTGGAATGATTCTTTTTTAATGAACGTTATTTTATAAATAACAAATACAATAGAAATGAACATTGTTGACATTTATTTTATAAATTCTATATTGCATCGTCAGGTGTTAAAAAATCAATTCATTTAACTTGGATGTTTGGTGCTTCAGGGCAAAGGGATTAGACAGGGTCGTAAATTTCACCTGATTAAGTAATTGACTCTAATCAAATAGGTGATTATATACAGGTAACAAGTGTCAACAATTTTAATCTGTTGTCTTAATGAAGTGTGTGTATGAAGAACTCAACAAAATGGCGACGATATGAGGAAAATAGATCGTTTTTTAAACTTTTTTCAAAAGGGCACAGAGGGGCGCAGGGGTGCTTAAAAAAGGCAGAGGGGCGCAAAATTTCTGGGGCGGGGCACATTGCCCCTCCATTTTATGCTAGCTGGAACACTGTAAACGAGAGAGCTGTTCTTGTTTCTTTATACCCATTACATTGGCTAATCAGTCCTTCAGCTATTTAAAGATGGATTTTATAAATGATTTAACGAAGATGTGGTCAGAGAGCCAATAACAATAAATAATCAAAAGACTTTAATTCGTCACCAATAGACAGGTATCTATCCATATGTTTCAATTGACATGCCACATTCTTGTTATCAATGTGCGGACATCTTATACGTTCAGGTATTTCACATGGCATCTTTTAATTTGGTAACATTATATACAAAACGCAAAAATGTCATAATTTACCTCAAAAGCTAACCAAACCTTTGAACAGACTCATTCACAAGGAATATAGTTAAGATACTGTTGTCAAGTAATTAAAGATGGCATTATTAGAATTAGTATTGATTCACTCATAGGGACTTTGCATTGGAAATACATTTATTCTGAAACCAGTTGTTGGCATGATACAGGTAATGTTGTTCTAGTATAATTTATGATGGCATGATACGAAACTACTGACAGAAGAGATTGTGGTTGATTTTCATATGATCGAGCTGGCATGTCAGGAACTGCCAGGGTTGGCAAAGTATTGCCCAGGCAGGAAAGCCTGGGTTTTCTAGGGATGGCCAATACTCCCAGAAATGGGTAATACTTAGCGATATGATTTTTTAAGCTGGTAACTGCTAGTAGTCCATTGTTAATTTATGTTGATCATTGTAATTTTGCTTATCTTTAGTTACCTATTCTAACATAAAGATTGGACTCTCTCCCAAACTGAGTTTTAGTGATCATACTGCTGTGTGTATGTTTATTCCTAATTGGGTAGAGGTAAAAGGAGAGGCTTGAGATTTCACAAAACATCTATAACCCTGCCACAATTTTGCTCCTGTCCCAAGTCAGGAATCTCTAGCTTATGTTAGTCTTATGCGTTTTTTTCAAATTTTAATTCATTTGTATGTTAAGATGTTTAGTGTGGCGTCAATTTCACTCTACTAGTATACATTATTGTTTCAGTGCCGGCTGAAGCCTGCCTCCAGGTCCTGGATTTTCCCGCTGCATTGAAGACCCATTTGTGGCCTTGTGCTGTTTTCTGCTCTTTGGTTGAGAGTTGTCTCTTTGACACATTCCCGGTTTCCATTCTCTATTCTGTCAAACTTAATAACAGACTTGTTTGTGGAATGTGTGCTACAACATATTATAGAAACAAAATACTCACTAATCTCTTGTGTTCTGTAGCTGTATTTACATCATGGGATCTCAAAGCATTCGTCACATGTTGCCACAGACGACGTGATTCAAAATCACCCTGCTTATCAATCGGTCTTACTTTCTTTTTACATGTTTCTAATGAAGTTACATCAATTGTTTTACTTCTCCCCTACAACAGTCAATAGAAATCAGTTCCTTGTTTTTACAAAATTGTTTTAATTATTAATACCTGTAAAACAATTTGAAAGTGTTCCACCTGCTATTTCTGCTGTCAACATAAAAGTGCAATGTTGAATGTCAAAAAAATAAGTTCATTTATCACGAAAAAAAAAAAGAAGAAAAATCTTGTTCTGAATATTGTCTTTTTATCATGAATTAAGCTTTTGTCTAAGTTTTGTAAAATTCATTGAGTTTTTGACAAATTATTGATCTCTGAGAAAAATGTAACCACAAAATTAACCTAAATGTTGCTGACAATGATGATGGTGGAAGGAAGGATCACTATTTCATGCTCCGGCAACTTTCATCAAAGACATGATAATTAAACACCAATTGTTTCCTTGTCAACTCAATCAATCAAGCAATCAGACATGTGACAAGGAACATTTGCTACAATTTTTATGATATAAAAATAAATTATTGTAAAAAATTATTGTATCATTTTGTTTGACTGCACTTATATTGGGTAAGTAGCATGCTCGTAGAAAGAATAAAAACAAAAGTTCATTTAAAAAAAAATTTCTATCATGTGATCAATGAAAACTACCTCATTGTCTTGCAACTTACGTCTGAGTAAGAAAATTCTATAACATTATTCCATTCTCCCTGAACCTTACAGAAAACATTCCCTGTTGAATTGTTCTTCACTTCTGCACTGACACGGTGAAGTTTTCCACCATAAAATGGCTACAAATATAAACAACACAATACATGAAAACATGCTGATTCTTTAGCTACCTTTAAAATGTTTAAAATAATTATATATTTATATGATATTAACTAGTTCTTCAGATTTTCTATAAGTGTATAGAACTTGTGACAGATTCAAAAGTTTAGACATTAGAAATTATTAAGAAACGAAGGTTACAATTCCCTCAGACCCTTGATATTGATGGATTTGACTATTCTTGTGAGTTCCTTATCTGTCTCAAGCTCTTTACTTATACAAGTAGTTATACATCCCTGGTTTTCAAATTTTGGGGTTTGAGCGTTCAGGATACAGTTAAATCCAGAAAAGCACTTTGAACACCCATATATTTATTCACAACTTGTGTAAGCTCAGCTTGACATATGACGAAGACACTTGTCTATAGTTGAAGACATCATATGACCATAGTGCCTGATTTATCATATTATTGAGTGCTGTCTTTTTGCAATTTACTCTTTAACTCTGTTTATAATATTATACCAAATATTTCCCATACTTTTCTTTGCAAATTTTGAGGAATATCAAAGAACACTACAAGATTCCCTTGCTCTTAACCTCTCAATATCATCTTACACTCACAAGCTTGTGCAATATTATATACTGCTTGAAACCATATTCCTCAATATAAGTGCAATAACCCTATACTATATTATAAAGAATTATTGCACAAACATTGCAGAATATTGTACCTGAAAAAAAATCCAATGCTTGAAAGGCTCATGCAATATAATATTCTGACTTTACTACATGTATATATATAATTAGATGCCTTATTTTCAGGTAAACTGTAAATTCAGAAACTATTGTTAGGTTTTTATCAATGCCAATAAGGCGATTTGTTCAGTATCACAAAAATTAGAACTCAGAATGATATGCAGATCGCAATAATCAATCTAGCACTTTTGTCAATTTAAAAAAAAATTGCAATAATAAATACAGGCAATAATTTCTGAATTTACAGTATAAGAAATGAAACAACAAAAATACCGAACTCCAAGGAAAATTCAAAAACGGAAAGTCCCTTAATAATCGGCAAAATCAAATTAATCATAAATATTAGTTTACTTTACGTGTTTTTACGTAAAACGACTTCCATTCATAAATATTTGTAGTTGTGTTTTGCAAAGTTAACACGTCATCATGTTCATTGGTCGTATTAAAATAGATTTTTATTATTGAGAAAATTCTATATTTAATTTGGCAATTAATCAGGAAAGCCATGCGTAAAAACATTTCATATTTCAATCTTTTCCGTTAATTTTAACCCTGAAACACTGAAAAAAGTATTAAAGAAGACTATTTATCTATTCGATGATAATCTATGCAATTATGCGATCTGATAAGGCAAATACAGGTGAAAGATAGACTTGAGTCAATCAATAATTGCGTAATTTGGTGTAATATTGTTTTTCTTCTCAGCAGCAATCTTTCACTTTACAAAAGTTATCAACACTTCATAATTAAAGGTGAAAATAAACATGCTGCAGGATTATCTTTAATGGCACTGCGTGCCAATGTAAGAGCTGCGGTGACAAAAAAAAATTTGGAAGGCGCTTCGGTCCCGTCATATCAGCCTGGGTAGAACACTGCAGTCCTAAGACAGTCGGGGGCTTTACTTAAACAAGTAATTTTTTTAGTTACTTATACAGATAATTTTTGTTTTTAAAATTTCTCAATAGAGTTATTTTACATGGACTAAATGTAGTTTTCCTGAATTTTTACATCATTTTATATCATAAAATGAAGAATTTATTAGATTTGAGAGGAGTATAGAGATAAAGGGTTACTTTAAAAATAATGACAAACATATCACTTGAATAAGTTATTTTATACATCTTTGAAAGAATTAGTAATAACACTTATTTAAGGAACATATGTAATTGATTTGGGTTACAAATTATAAATAACTTCAGTCAAGTCTTAATTAATTCACAAGTTTCTATCTATTTATATCTGTTTACCTTCAAGATTTTTGAGGAAAATGATATTTTAATAGTCCCAAGAGTCCAATCCTTGACCCAGAAGCGTGGATATGAAATATAAGTGCGTCAGAAAGGCAATTAGTGTTTCAGAAGGATTAGATTTTATATTTCATTGGGAAAAAAACCAGATGACTTTGAAAATTTGTTAAAGCTCATAAAATCTGTATAATTAGACGCTTATAAAAATAATATTTAGAAAAGATACTTATATAAGTAATATTTAAAATAGCCTCATTTTCAACATTACTTGTATAAGTAATTTTAAAAGTTACTTGTTTAAGTAATGCCTCTGACTGTAAGAGGCTCACCCCTCATACTTCAAAGTAAATACCTTTGTATGGAATGTAACTGTAGATGATAAATTTGTCTTTTGGCAGGTCATATTGATTTTATCTCCCATCTCAGCCCATGGAACTGTTAATATTGATCTAGCATAGGCACTTGGCATAGAAAACACATACTCTTCATCCAGAGCAAGGAGTTTTAACTTTACTGAAATAACAAGAATCACGACTTTTTAACATTCTGAACACATTAGCCGTTAGACTGTCTAGTAAGGCTGATCATAGTATAGTCAGAATTTAAAAAATGAAAGCAACACTTGATAAATTTCTTCCATTTGAAGCACTTTTCTGGATTTATCAAAAATGTTCAAAGCCAAATATTTGAAAGCCAAGGATGTATAAGAACCGAAACAGTTCAAAAGCTGTATGAGCAAAAGAGACCTAATAATAATAGCCACCTTAGTTTCTTTATATTTTCTAAATTTATTATTTAAATGACCATTCATGAAGGTTTTTTTGGCTTATCTAACAACAACTAACATTAAGAAAAGAAAATAAAACATCATGTGATAGTCTTGTTTGAGTGGGAATGAGTCAGAAAACTATGTGTGCTGATTGATTAAAATTCAATATGCTGCAGCTGAAAAATTCTGATCTCTCTGCAGTTATTAGACAATCCTTGGGTTCAAATAGAAATTTTTGCAAAATAAATTTCCATTTATTCAAAATCTAACATACCTTTTCCAATTAAGTTGACTCCAATAGACATTCCATAAAATTTTGACTTGGTATATATGGAAGCATCCATACACATTTGTTTTCCAGGACATTCAAAATAAAATGCTGACACTGAAAATAAACAACTTATCATTATCAAAATAAACTCATGGAAGATCAAGAAATATAATTTATACTAATGTAAGAAACTAAACCGTTAATTCAAAGAAAGAAAATTCCAACTTTAGAACAACTTTTTATTGCTGTTCTGTATCTTGTTAGTTGATAGCAAGTCTTCACACTGGTCATACATGTTTACATTCTAAAGACATGACGTTAAGCTGAACTGTAAGCAAAACTTATACAGAAGAAGATATGGTGAGTCCACTCTTTTGTTTTCAATGAATTTGAAAATCTGAGATGATATCAGTGTATTCATATTTATGACAATTAATTAAAAGTTTTTTTTATTGAAATTTCATTTGCATCCAAAATTACCACAATAGTCCATGAACAATATGAAAATAAGGAGATGTGGTATGATTGACAACAAGTTCCTTTTAATCAGCTTTAGTATAAAAAGTTTTATTGAAACCATTCCTTGTTTTAGGTTGAATTGATATACCAATAATGACAGAAGCATGCTTTTGATTGCAACTCATTATTCTAGGCAGCTGATTGATAAACATACCACCATAGTAAGAAGTTGTTCTCAACTTTGATAGATTTAAAATGCAATAAAATGCTCCGCTGGGGCGCAGCTTGATACCACTGCAGAGGTTGAACCCTGAACAGTTGGGGTAAGTATGGATACAACATTCAAGCTTGTTACAGCACTGAATTTGGATTGTAATTAAATATTTGACACAGCATAGGTTTCTGACACAGAATGAATGTGGTCTAAGAACTTAAAAAATTTTAATTTACCTATTCAAACCATATCATTATTATTTGCTTTTATATTTAAATCAGAAATAACCAATTTAAAATGGAAAATTTTAAAGAAAAAAAAGGAAAAAAAAATCCCCCCCCCCCCCAAATTTTTTGAACCCCCTTATGATTCATCAACCCCAAAATCAATCCCAGCCTTCCCTTTGTGGTATGGTACCTTGCAGTACAATTTCAGAGAGATCCATACACTTGAACACAAGTTATTGTCTGGAAACTAGAAAGTTGCTTGTTTTTTGGCCCCTTTTTGGCCCCAAATTCCTAAACGTTTAGGGCAATTACCCCCCAAACTCAAACCCAGCTTTCCCTTTGTGATATGGAACCTTGTAGTACAATTTCATAAAGATCAATACACTTACACACAAGTTATTGTCCTGAAACTAGAAAAATGCTTGTTTTTTTGCCCCTTTACGGCCCCTAATTCCTAAAATTTTGAGGCAATTACCCCCAAAATCAATCCCAGCCTTTTCTTAATGGTATGATACCTTGCAGTACAATTTCAGGGAGATTCATACACTTGAACACAAGTTATTGTCTGGAAACTAGAAAAATGCTTATTTTTGGCCCCTTTTTGGCCCCTTATTCCCAAACGTTTTCGGCAATTACCCCAAAACTCAATTCCAGCTTTCCCTTTGTGATATTGAACCTTGTAGTACAATTTCATAAAGATCCATACACTTACATACAAGTTATTGTCATGAAACTAGAAAATGCTTGTTTTTTGCCCCTTTTTTGCCCCCAATTCCTAAAATTTCGAGGCAATTACCCCCAAAATCAATCCCAGTATTCCCTTTGTGATATGGAACCTTGTGGTACAATGTCAGAGAGATCCATACACTAACACACAAGTTATGTCTGGAAGTTACAAAAATGCTTATTTTTGGCCCCTAATTCCTTAACTGTTGGTACCATAACCCCCAAAATCAATCCCCACCTTCCTTTTGTGGTATTGAACCTTATGGTAAAATTTCATAGAGATCCGTTCACTTTAACTAAAGTTAGAGTGCGAAAACCAATGTGTCTTCGGACGACGACAACGTCGACGACGCCAACGTCGACGACGCCAACATCATACCAATATACGACCGCAAAATTTTTTTGCGGTCGTATAAAAAGAACTCCAAGAAGCCTGAATTGCTTATTTGGAAAACATATGCCATATTGATATTTGTTTGTCAAGAAAACAAATTGCATTTACCCACTGCTCCCCAATCTGAGCAGTGCTTCCAAATATATGATTCAATATATTATGTCTGTTTAGCTCATTTTGTCTCCACAACCACATTCCAAGCCTACCCTGTCTACACTAAAATTGGTACTTACCTGGAGGGTGATGAGAGACTTGCTCAGCACAATAGATTAGTTGTACTTTTTCTTCGCCTATGCTGACAGATGATTGATTGGTATCAACAGATGATCCTTCATCGTCAGATATCTTTGATTTCTTCGGTAACTTCCAGGAACAATGGAATGTCTCTCCTATAATTGGATTGTATGGCTTTTTGGCAACAGATCCCTGAAAATGAATATTTAAATTTTTCAAATACTTCAAAAAATTCAAGAACTTACTTTACTACAGTATAAATATATGGAAATGTGGTATGATTTCTAATGAGGCAACTATCCACCAGAGACAAAAGGACGAACCATAGGTCATCATACTGTTTTCAACAATGAACAAACCTCCATAATGTATAGTAAGCTATAAAAGGTCCCAGCATGACAAAATATGAAACAGTTCAAACAAACCCTTCCCCCCCCCCCCCAAAAAAGCAAAAAAAACATAACAATGGCTTAGTTCATGCTAAAACAAAAAAAGAAAAACAAATATGGCAGAAAAGACAGACAGCCTCCCGACTATGGACAGCAGATAAAGAATTTCGTGGGGTTAATAATTGTTTAGATAAATAACTGCCTGATTGCAAAGAATAGAGTAAACATAACAAACCTGTCTGCCAGCATGGAATGAGGTAAGATACCACTCTAAAACAGCCATCATTCGAGACTCTGGGTCAGGTAAATCTGGTATTCTGAAATAACACACATATATATATGTATGAAACAAAATTAAACATTCAGCTTTAAATACGACAACCAAAACCTGAAATGTGGTTATAGTTGTCTCATTAGCAATCATACCACATCTCCTTATTTTTATACTATAGATGAATTTCTACTCAAGATGTGCTTCAGAAATTATTTTTGTCTAATTTGCTTGCCATTGCTCTGTTTGTGCTAGATTTTCTTGTACATGTGCTCCAATAAGAAAATGAGAAAATTTCTTAATTAGATGTTCTGTAACAAGTCGTGTTTGAAATGATAAATCTGGTTTGAAAAAAAATGGCATCTTCTTCCTTGTTGCAAAAGCTGGAATTTCTCATAATAATGTGAGGTTTTAGATTAGCCTAGAACCTGGAATTTCTCATGATTATGTGAGGTTTTAGATTAGCCTAAAACCTGGAATTTCTTATGACAATGTGAGGTTTTAGATTAGCCTTAAACCTGGAATTTCTCATGATAATGTGAGGTTTTAGATTAGCCTTAAACCTGGAATTTCTCATGATAATGTGAGGTTTTTAATTAGATTAGCCTAAATCCTAGAATTTCTCATGATAATGCAAGGTTTTAGATTAGTCTTAAACCTGGAATTTCTCATGATAATGTGAGGTTTTAGATTAGTCTTAAACCTGGAATTTCTCATGATAATGTGAGGTTTTAGATTAGCCTAAAACATGAGAATCTTCTATCATTACGCGAGACTTACTTGAGGAACACATCAGGATGTGCCATACAGTCGGCAAACATTTCTAACAACGATCTTCTCTCCAAAATAAATGTGGGAAGAACGACCTGTAAAAGATTTTGAATACTTTAGGTGAAAAAACGCATATAGTTGAATGTTTTAAAATTGTTGATATGCACAAAAAAATGGTGATGTAATTGTTTTTGAATTAATTACTTTTTATTGCTTTAACCAACAAGACAGTATTCAACAATATGAAAATGATGAAATTTAAAATCTTTTTTTGGAAATTGTTCTCAATAAATGGAACCAACCAATTACAAAATTTGTTCTGATTGTACTCAAAATCGTCTTTCCTTAATCATTATTTATATTACTGAGTTCAACATGATTGTAAACTCGTGTGCGTGTGAGTAAGAATGGGTGTGTGATTGGATGGGTATGAAGTCAAGTTACATCCGTATGTCTTGTCCTGTACATATTGTCTTGTCCTGTGTTAAACATGTTTGTTAACTTTGTTAATTGTTAATTGTGAATCTGTATATATCTATGTTGACGAGACCTACACGTAGCCTCTGGCTGTTGGCAATCCTCTTTAAATAAATAAAGAATTAAATTAAATGACAAAATGGTGGTCTGATAGTTTTTGAATGAGCCATTTTATAACCAATCAACAAACCTGTAGTCAAATAAATATAGTCCCTCTCCAAAAATAACTGGTCCATCAACTCATTGGTCCATATTTTTCATATAACTTAAAATTGACAATCTTAATCAATATGATTGGAGTAGAAAGCACCTGTCATGTGCCAGGTTCGAACTCATAACTTTGATGTTGACAGGCAAGTGATACAGTAGTTAAACTACTTAGACCACATGGCCACAGATGCCTCTTTAAAGTAAAGAATCATATGTAAATACTGTATTGATGTTCAATATCCATTTTTTTTTAAATATACAAACCTTAGTTAGATCCATGCCTAGTTTGAGTTGAGATAGGAGATGTAAAATGATACTTTTGTGTTCCTCGACTCCTTCCAAATCTGTATCATGGTAACTGTCATCATCTTCTACTTCTTCTTCATGATTAATTGGGCCTAAAAATTACAAAGTAAATGGTTGAATTATTATATATGTAAATAAAATACAAATTAAAATAAATACAGATAAAGCACTACTACACATATACTGTAGAAACATTAATTTTCGTGGGGTTAAAATTTCGTGGTTTTGTCTCTATATAAAATTTCATGGGGATTTAATTTCGTGGTTTCCATTAAATGGAAGTGATATTATATGTAGGTTAAATTTTCGTGGGGGTTTTTATTTCGTGGATATATTCTTTCCACGAAATAAACGAAATTAAATCCTCCACGAAAATTTCTGCTTTTACAGTAGATAAAAAGTTTAGTCATTTTTGTTGAGAAGTTAAAAACAGGTATGCTGAATAAAAAATAAAACAACTAATAAGCTGATGATGTTGCTACAAGGACAATGACACATACAACATCTACAAATGTGTCAGTAAACTATCTGTCATCACATAAGATGACACATATAAGTGTACCAGTAGACAAGATGTCATGACACCAGATGACACATGCAAATGTACCAGTAAAATATAGCTATGTGTCATGACACCAGATGACACATGCAAATGTACCAGTACAATATAGCTATGTGTCATGACACCAGATGACACATGCAAATGTACCAGTAAAATATAGCTATGTGTCATGACACCAGATGACACATACAAGTATACCAGTAAAATATAGCTATGTGTCATGACACCAGATGACACATACAAGTATACCAGTAAAATATAGCTATGTGTCATGACACCAGATGACACATACAAGTATACCAGTAAACTGTGTGTTATGACAGAATAATGGACAGACACAGACCAGAAAACATAATACCTCTATTGGCGGAGCATAAAAAAGATAAATAATTCAAAATAAAAAGTGAAATTGCATAAAAAACCTACAAATGTAAACAAAATGTTACTTAAACTGAAGTTTGCAAAACCACTTACCCTCGGGATGATCATCAGGAAGAGGGAATTTCACATTTGCCGAAGAGAAACTACCAGCTCGGGATAATTCATGTGTACTATTCTCTGAGACATTTGACAGGAAAGAATGGCTACGTTCCCTGTATGACAAAAATAGCAATTGGCATTTGCAGAACTTTATAAATTCTTATTAAAAGAAACTAAAGGTCTTTAATCTTGGGTAACCAATAAAAAGCTCAATTCTGTAAATTTTGAAAAAATAAAATATTTTCCCCATTTAATGATAAAAATAAACTGTTATCACAGAGATATGTCTCGCCTTTTTGTAATTTTGATAATGCAAATGTTGAAATTAAAATAGCAATACTTTAACATGTAAGTTATGCAAATATTTAAAGTCGATGAACCATGACTGAAGGTACATGGCTAAACAAACTCCATGGAATGAGATGTGCCAGTGCTAATACAACTGCATACCAAATACCACTGACTTATTATAAGTTGTTCCCTTTAAACAAACATAAACACAAACATTAACTTGTAAACTATGTAAAAGTTTCAAAGTCAATGAATCATGATCAGGGGTGGGCTATATAATCTCCATGGAAATGATATTTGCAAATGCCAATACATTTGCATACCAAATATCATTGACTTAACATTAGCAGTTTATCTTAAACTGATCTAATCACAAACTAATACATGTAAACTAAGCAAAAGTTTCAAAGTCAATAGACCATGACTGAGGGGGCGGGGCCAAATATTCTCCATGGAAATGAGATGTGCTAATGCTTATACAACTGAACACAAATTAACATTGGCCTACCACTAATGGTTCCCCTTGAACTGACCTAATCACAAACTAATACATGTTAACTTAGCAAAATTTTCAAAGTCTATAGACCATGACTAAGGGGGCGGAGCCAAATAATCTCCATGGAAATGAGATATGCCAATGCTTATACAACTGCATACAAAATATCATTGACCTACCACTAGTGGTTCCCCATAAATTGACCTATCACAAACTAATACATGTTAACTATGAAAAGTTTCAAAGTCAATAGACCTTGACTGAGGGGGCAAGGCCAAATAATCTCCATGGTAATGAGATGTGCCAATGCTAATACAACTGCATACGAAATATCATTGACCTACCACTAGTGGTTCCCCATAAATTGACCTAATCACAAACTAATACATGTAAACTATGAAAAGTTTCAAAGTCAATAGACCTTGACTGAGGGGGCGGGGCCAAATAATCTCCATAGTAATGAGATGTGCTAATGCTAATACAACTGCATACCAAATATCATTGACCTACCACTAGTGGATCACCATGAACTAGACCTAATCACAAACTAATACATTGTTGACGCCGTCGCTGACGCCGGAAACAGCATACCTATGTCTCGCTTCTTGACTCTGTCAAGGCGAGACAAAAACTATTTGGTAAATAAAGTCATAATGAATATCAAATGTTGCATTTCTGTCAATTCTATGAAAGATATTTTCCTGAAAATTACTCCCTTATTTATTGAAAATACCTCCCTTACAAGCATTTCCTTCAACTTACTTTTGAATTTCTCTTTCTAATGCTGGTTCTATTCCTAACTGTAAACTGTGTGTATGAGAACCAACCCCCTAATAAAGAGAAAATAAAAATTACAAAAATAAACATGCAAAACTAAATACACTTAGGACAACAAAATATATTTGGAAAAACAGACTGTCTAGGCTAAATTTCATAGAAGTGGATACACTTTATTTGCAATCTGTTCTATAAATTTCAAGGGGTTCAGTAGCTTATATGTTAGTGCAGTACTGATTTACAATAATATGACGAAAAGTCTTAACATATCTTGACTGATTATTAGTCAAATATATTAAATACCACTGAATTGACCATAAGGAAAAAGTCTAATAACAAGTTGAAAATCTCAACAAGAATAATTTTTTTTAAAAGCAGATATTTGAGATTGTTGTTATATTAAAATGGCAGTTTCAAACAATAACTCATTTCCTAGTAGTAAGACTGACACATTCTTTGAACTTTCAGACTTGAATGAGGCATGTACACCCTTTTTCCCAAAACTGTCTGGATACTGACACAAATTTAAATTAAACTATTAAGAGGTTTTTTTCTAAAGAATATTAAAGCAAGGTATGTAATTGCTGAAATGCAAAAATATGTAAAGCACAATACAGTGTAAAGTATACTTTTGTTCAATTCATAAATTTTTTTATGAATGTAACCTGCATAAACCAAACACCTCTGTCATTGACAATATCTTCCGTCTACAGTTCAGTTTACACAGGTTTCACTGTATTTACTTACCTGTTTATGCTCCAACATTTTCAAACATTGACTGAGACAACTTAGGGTGGCACTTGATGTGGCTTTCAGTAACAGTAAATCCTGAAAAAAAACCAATTAACTGATTTATAGAATAGGTCTTTTGTATGAAGTCAAAAAATGCTGAAATAAAAAATTGCAATGAAAGTTGTGGAGTCCTCTATTTTTGAAAAATTAATTCAAATTTATTTGTTTCTTTATCAGATTTCATCTTTTCACTAATATAAGATAATCGCCTTACTATTTGTACATACTATAATGCAAAGAAAATGTAAGTCCATACCTTATCCAAACCACCAATTGGTTCTTCTGATACTGGAAGCGACTGAAAATAAATGATTTTGTATTTGTATAGTAAAATTGCAGATTGCAGGATTAAATTAAAATATTCTTGTTAATTTCTAACAAATATTTATAAAAAAATACAGTAGTAAGAAAACAAATCTGAGCATTTGACCAAATATATGTAGATTCTACCAAAATATTCAGTGGGTTAGGGATCATAGATTTATTCTTATGAGGAAGCTCCGAGCATGCTCGGAGGATGCTCAGAGCTTTTTCAGTAGGCTCTTCTCTGCAGTTTATGTGAAAATAATTATCAAAATTACTTATACAAGTTATATTGAAAACAAGGTTGTTTCAAATATTACTTATATATCATGAATAAGTAACTTCTGTTAATATTATTTCTATAGGTGTCCATTCATACAGGTTTTACAAGCTTTAACAAATTTTCACATCTGGTTATTTTCCCCATGCAGTATAAAACTATTTAAATCCTCCTGAAACACTAATTGCCTTTCTGATGCCACACTTCTTGGTCATAGATTGGTCTCTTGGGGCTATTAAAATAACATTTTCCTTTAAAATCTTATAGTTGAACAAATATAAATGGATGGAACTTTGTGATTTAAGGTAGCACTACAGTCTAACAATGATTTTTTGAAGATATTTTTTTTATCACATAATTTTGAAGTAAGTATTATTCTGCACAGTTTGTAAAAATCCCAAAGTCATTATCATATCACAACAGGGAGTAAATTGATAATGAACGTATGTAAATAAAAGCACATGTAATTAATCTAAATATATAGGCATTTGGGAGGGGCTAATATGTCAATCATCTGTTGATACCAGTGTCCAGCTGTTAATCCCTGACCACAAGATAAATATCTCATTGCATTGCAACAAAACTAATTTATTAAACATGAAAGTTTAGAACAGAGAAAAAGAAAAAGATAGGAATAGGAAAAAATTTAAAGGGAAAAAATCTACCAAAATGAAAAAAAAAACTATGGAAAAGAGTGTGAATGTATCTTTGAAAGCCTCTGACTGCCTGTATAAATTTCTCGACTTTGGTCTTCTACATTTAAAAATAATTTTAGGCATTTTAACTAATTTTAAGTTTATTTGAAATTTTTTTAAGTCCATGAAACTCATAAATCATGTTGGACAGTCTATTTTCAAGAAGGGGATGGTCTTGATCTTTTTATGGACATGTATTTTAATTTTAATATTTTAGCTAATTTCAGTCATCATGGTCATATTATATTTCTTTTTAAAATTCAAATGAAAATTATTCTTTATAGTGAGAATAATGATGTTAAATATTAATTATGATGCAGCTAGCCAATCCTGTTATTCTCTTATCTTAGACTGTCTGGACAGAGGCGGAGCTTTGTCTTTATTTAATTACTACATCACAGATGTTGGTCAAATCTGTGACGTCAAACTCCCGCCAAATGCCAAGTTAGTGTTATACAGTGCACACAAAATGCAAATTTTACAGCATTAGAGCATCAAAGACACAATGTGTGTGGTTCTATTGATAAAGTAATGGTGTCAGAACACTCCTGGGGTGTTCCCAGTGGAATTTTTGTATTTATGTGGCATTTATAGGGGTTCTTAAGAGGAAATTCAGTTTTAAGGTCATTTCTCAGAACAATTTTTCATGAGAATTGTAAGGAAAAAATGAAAATAGAAACTTTATGGGTACCCCCTTTGGCTTGACTTTGATATATGTGATTGAAGGGAGTATTTTCTACAATACCGTGTCCCAGTTTTTGGATAATTTGTTTCTAAATGAATTTATAGGTCTCCAAAGATGAAAGGTGAAATGAGGTTTGGCATCCAGCAGTAAAAATAATATATCTTCTTACTGGAGGCATATATCAAAAATCTGAGACAAGGTTTTGTAGATTGTGAATGGTTGATTAAAGAGATGAAAACAAATTTTTACTACCATTTGACCTGAATGTGCCATTTTCATCCAAGTTAGAAGACCACTTTTTTGGCAATTAATGAGCTATATTTTGAGATTAATCATACCAAAAATAAATTTATCTATAGATTAAGAAAGAGTTATGTTTCAGCTTTAAAATGAGTTAAAGATTTTAAAAATCCATTGAGTAGTTTTGGAGAAATTAATCTTTAAAGACTGTTGGTTGGAGTCAGAAAATTCTGACTGTAGTGCTACCTTAATTAAGACTTGAAGTTATTTATAATTTGAAATCTTTATCAAAAACAATTACATATGTTCCTTAAATACATGTAATTGTAAGTATGCTTAGTTTTTCGAAGATGTATAAAATAATTTATAAAAGTAATATTTTTGTCATTATTTTTAAAGTAATCTCTCTATACTCATCTCAAGTTGGATAAATACTTAATTTTACTTAATGAAATGATGAAAAAATTCTTAAAAACTACATTTAGTCCACTTTTGACATTTAAAATAACTATTGAGTTTATATCAAATAATTTAAAAAAACAAAAAATACCTATTAATATATATTAAGTAACTAAAAAAAATAAGTTGTTTAGTATCGCCCCCTGACTGTTGTTTGTGTCTTGATAACTTTTATGTAGCATATTATATAATATAAACTATATTTAAATCATATCATCTAATTATAAGATTTGAGAATTTTTTTTATTATAAAAAAAGAAATGATTAATAAATATAATAATTGTATATTTTTTGTTAAATGACTTTCACTTTTTTGTGGAGACTTGAGATTTCTTTCCAAGCATTACACAGTACTGTTGAAGAATTTCTTATCTTTTCTATAATTTGTAAAATGTCATGCAAAATGTATTTGAATAGATCAGTTGTTTACACAGGTGTTAATTGAGCTTCCTCTATAATGCTCAACTTTCCTTATTATAGAAGTGGTGTAGATTTGATTGACACCTTAATGGATCATGATAATTATTTTCACATAAACTGCAGAGAAGAGCCTACTGAAAAAGCTCCGAGCATCCTCCGAGCATGCTCGGAGCTTCCTCGTAAGAATAAATCTATGATCCCTTATGATAATCCTCGATTCAAAATAAATAAAATTTAAGTTTATAAAATGTCAGTGAGAAAACACTACATTTCCCTTTTCAATAGAAAAGATGCACAACAGATGGAAATTATACAAAGATGTGATTGAGCCGGTCTCTTTATTTTTGAGAAAAAACATTTAAAAAGTTAGTATTTATACTGGGAAAAAGAGGCCTCTTGTTTTTGTAGTATGATATAAATGCAAATAATTTAATTTTGGATGTAACACGTCTTCTGATAAGCTGAAAGTGTTTTGTCTATCAGCTCATAGACACAATTTTGTCATGTGACCGCGACGTCATCAACGTTTTTATCATTATTTACTCCTTTTTAGAATTATAAGGAATGACCTTAATATTTTTTCTGTCTATTCGAAATAACATAAAAAATGTGAAGCACACTTTTAAATAACCTGCTATGCCGATTATTCAGTGTGCACCACATTTTTGATGTTATTTCTTCATAGACAGAAAAAATATTACAGTCATTCCTTAAATAAATGAATATTATACTGTATGGAAAGTGTAGTAGTAATAAAGAGATTGAAAATATTTTGTCAGAGGTGTGTTCATTCTGTGTGACAACATCAATCATTTTCATCTTACAGCAATTATATTTTACATGATCATCATGATTTAATTTAAAACAGTTGGTAAAAAGAAAACCACAAGTATAACACCCCTGAGATAAAAGAAAAAAATCTTGGCAATATAAAAGAAATTTTCTTACTGAACATTTTTCCTGAAGATGGTGTGAATAATCCTCAGCTTCTATTAAGTATTCCTTGACTTCCTTGAAAGGATCCAGTGTGTGAGGTCTTGAGGCTGGCGCTCTGTGTTGAGATCTGAAAAAGTGTACAACAGTTTTTCTGTCAGTTTTATTTTTCTTTCTCCCTGCCTCAGAGGTCTTATGGTAGCTTGAAGTAATAGTAAAGTTCAATTTTTTTAACTTCATCACAAACTTGTACTATTTGTATGAATGCAGACAATACAAAACATGTTTAACCCTGCCGCATTTTTGCGCCTGTCCCAAGTCAGGAGCCTCTGGCCTTTGTTAGTCTTGTATGATTTTTAATTTTAGTTCATTTATATGTTTTGGAGTTTAGTGACGTCCATTTTCACTGAACTAGCAAACAAATTTATTTAGGGGCCAGCTGAGGACCACCTCCGGGTGCGGGATGTTATCGCTGCATTGAAGACCCATTGGTGGCCTTAGGCTGTTGTCTGCTCTTTGGTCGGGTTGTTGTCTCTTTGAAATATTCCCCATTTCCATTCTAAATTTTAATTTGGAGGCTATATTAAATTGCCCCAATATAAATAAGAAGATGTGGTATGAGTGCCAATGAGACAACTCTCCATCCAAGTCACAAGGTATAAAAAGTTAACAATTATAGGTCAAAGTATGGCCTGAGATGATTATTTATATATCTACTCTTTCATATATGTTGTAATTCTTCTTGGAATCACTCTTCTTATGTATACTACTTTGGGCTTTGTCAAGTGTGTGTAAGTTGTGTGTCATGAATTAAAATAAGATACAGCTTCTTTTCTAATAATTGTTTTATTGATGTTTACTGGTTTTTACATATTTTATAGTTGTTTAAGAAGTCTTCAGAAAAACCTTCATTTGATGTTTTACTGAACTTGTGATTTTTTATTTTGCACTTGGTATATCTTTTCTCTGATCTCTTTTAATGATCTTAAAGGAAGTTTTAATGTTAACAAAAAGAAGTTTTCTAATCAGTGTATTGACTAAGTGGTCTTGTGGTATAATGTTGGCCTCAAATGTAAGAAGTCATGGGTTGGATCCCTGACTGGGTCAGATACAGATCTTAATAATAAGTATTTGTTGATTCTGCACAAAGAATGCAGCATTTAGTTAAAACTAAGATTTGTTGGCCTGGAGTCAGAAAAATGTGTTTGAACAGGGTGATACCTTTTCTTGACTTGTGAGCACAGACACATTAAAAGATAAGTCAGTGTAGTTGTCTGTACAAAGAAGGGTATATTTATATCCCATTAATATGTCATCCTGAATATGCATGTAATATTTGTAACTGGACTGGAGTAGCCATAAACCTGAAAATGCATGTAATATTTGAAGCTTGCCTTAAGTAGCCATAAACCTGAAAATGCGTGTAATATTTGCAGCTGGACTTAGTAGCCATAAACCTGAATATGCATGTGATATTTGCAGCTGGACATAAGTAGACATTAACCTGAATTTGCATGTTATATTTGCAGCTGGACTTAAGTAGACATCAAGCAATCAATCTAATTGTACTGTACACTATTTGAATGAGAACAGTTAAAAAATACCTTGGAACAACTGCATGAGGATGGTTATGTATCTGTTCATTTGAATCTGATCTTTTCTTGTTGAACAATTCATTGACTGAAATACCCGACGAGGATCTGTCTTTATTGAAGGAAGTCAAAGAAGCACTCTGTAAAAAAAAAGAACATTGAGGATAAAAATGAATTGTTAACACAGAAATATGTCTCCCCTATGCAACCTAATCACTTACATTAACAATAACGCCAATGCTGAAAACAACATGCCTAAAATGTTTGAGTCAAATCTCAGATGGGACAATCACAAACCATAAGTCGAAGAAAAAACAGACAAAATCCATGCATCAACTCAAAATCCTGACAGTATATTACAGAACATTAGCATGCGTATCAACATCTTGAGAAAAAAAAATGGTCTAACTTGAAAACGGTAAGAAATGAGCAGACAAACAGTGCACCATAATGCAAATCAACAAATTCATACTTACCAAAAAATTTTTAGTAATTAAATAAAAGAGGAATATGCTTCCAAAGAAAAACCTGCCTCTCTCACACTATCTTATTTTCATGTTCAGTTAATCTTGAGTGAAAAGCCTAATTTTGCATATTTTAAACAGTTCACTTCATTAGGCACATGTGTACACAGTTTCAAGTTGATATGATCATAAACTTCCCTGAACAAAAACTTTATTCTACCTTAAAACCAAAACTTTACAAAAAATAACAGACATACAGACCAGAAAACATAATGCTCTTAATCATAGGTGCGGCATAAATACTTGACAGAGAAAGTACACCTTATGTATACATGTGTACAAATAGTCTACAAAATAAAAAAAAAATCAAACTTGAAAGATGTGGGAGAAGTCAAGAAGGCATCAAATATGCAAAGAGATTTTGAGTGGACAAACCATGCATCCCTTAAGTAGATGGACTGACACACAAATAGACAGTGGTAAAACAACTTGCTTTCCTTTTTTATTCTTTGCAGAGTGTTGGTAAGTGATCAGAAATTTGAAGACCAATAACCCTTATTGGCAAATAGCATTTAAATATATATAATAAACAGCTGCGCCATGAGCGCATGATACGCCCGTCGTCTTGTGTGTGAACTTTTATGCAATAAGCATAAATAGTTTCTGACATACGGCGTGACATGCGAAGACCCCCTTTTTTTTTAACAAAAAACTCAATATCTCTAAAATAAAATTTTGAATCAAAACCAAAAAGTATACAGATCTTTAGATTAATATAACTAAGAAGTGTGTAAAATTTTAAGCAATAATCATAAATTTGTATTTGAGATACGGCGCAACATGTGAAAACCCTCCCTTAAAAAAAAAAAAAAAAATCAATATATCAAAAATAAAATTTTAAATCAAAACCAAAAAGTATAAGGATCTTTAGATTAATATAACTAAGAAGTGTGTAAAATTTTAAGCAATAATCATAAATCGTTTTTGAGATACGGCGCGACATGTGAAAATCCCCTCTCCCTTTTTTTACAAAATACTCCATAACTCAAAAATAAAATTTTGAATCATCACCAAAAAGTATACAGATCTTAAGGTTAATATAACTAAGAAGTGTGTAAAGTTTTAAGCAATAATCATAGACTGTTTTTGAGATACGGCGCGACATGTGAAAAACCCCTCCCCCTTTTTTAACAAAATACTCAATATCTCTAAAATAAAATTTTGAATCATCACCAAAAAGTATACAGATCTTAAGATTAATATAACTAAGAAGTGTGTAAAGTTTTAAGCAATAATCATAAATTGTTTTTGAGATACAGCGCGACATGTGAAAAAAAACACACACCTGTTTTAGTTACTAAGTCCCGTAACTCAAAAAGTTTTAATCTTATTTTCACCAAAAAGTATACAGAATGTTTGACCATCCTAAGAAACAACTATGTTAAGTTTCATGAAATTTGGATAAGTCATTCTCAAGTTACGGTGCGACATGTTTACGCCGGACAGACAGACGGACGCCAGACATTTGTATACCATAAAACGTCCCGTCAAAAATTTGACGGGCGTATAAAAATAAAAGAACAGAGTTCCAATGTCCCCCGCGTTGCACATATTTTATATTTCCAAGGGGCATAACTCTTTTAAAAAAAGTCGATCGTCCACCATTATAAAACTTGTCCAAGATATTGCTGATATTAACCTATTGTATAAGTTTTATAAAAATCTGGCAAAAATTGTACCCTTGAGAGCGCTAACAATACCATTTTCCATAAATTTAATATTACCAAGGGGCATAACTCTTTTTATGTAAAAAAGTTGATCTGCAACCAGTATAGAACTTGTCCGAGATATTGTTGATATTAACCTATAGTATAAGTTTTATAAAAATCTGGCAATAATTGTACCAGTGAGAGCACTTAAGAGGCGATTTTCCATAAATTTAATATTTCCAAGGGGCATAACTCTTTTCAAAGAAGTTGATCGGCCACCATCATAGAACTTGTCCGAGATATTGCTGATATTAACCTATAGTATAAGTTTTATATAAATCTGGCAAGAATTGTGCCTGTGAGAGCGCTAACAAGACCAGACAGACAGACGCCCAGTATTTCCATGTCCCGCAATGCTTTAAGCGGGGGACAATAACCTTAAATTTGGATTAAAAATTAATATTCATGATCTTTCTTCTTCTTATCTTTGTTTTGCACTCCCAGCTATGGGACACCAAGAAGTCAGTAATCTTAACTTCCCATTAAAAACATTAGAGTTAATATCATAGTGCACTAAATTGTTTAAAATACAATTATAATAAATTGGAATTCTTTTGACCTCCCTTCAAATTACAATTAAATGATATAGTACACTGAATATCATTATCAGATCATGAAAATGTGTTCCTTGAATTAGAGGCTGTTACAACTGACAAATGTGCTGTGAAATGAAAACTTAATATATTACATTTGACAAATGTGCTGTCAAATGAAAACTTAATACATTACATTTGACATATGTATACATATTGTATATGTGTTGTTGAATGAGAACTTAAATCATTACTTTTGACATATGTGCTGTAAAGTACTCTGCCGTAGACCTCAGTTTGTCCACCCACATTTGTCTTTCTTTGGCATCAGTTGCTACAACATAAAATTAAAAATATTATACTTGTAATTAATGATTATTTATCCTGTTTTTAAAGTTAAACAAAGTTGAAGCCAGGAGCTGCAATTTCCAAATTGTAGCAGTTCCTGTATCACCAGTGGCATGTGTTAATTAAAATATCATCTACCTTTTAACTGTACCAATAAATTCATAAGTAATGTCATAATTACCTCTCAGCCTGTAAGTCTCTCCATTAGATGCACTGACAGAAAATGTTTGTGAATCTTCATCTGAAGGGCAGATAACTGCTGCCTGTAAATTTTCAAACAAACAAAAATTTTACAGCAAAAGTGGTCTACGGAAAATTTGCTTTCAAAAAGAAGTCATGAAATACATGAAATACATGAAATATTTAAAACAGAGCATTAATTTGTCCAAAATCAAAATCTAGTGATTTTGGAATATATGGTAATGAAAATATAATTTCAACTTTTTGTACCCAATTAGATGAAAAGGAGGGGTAAAAAAGTATTGCCTAAGACTGAGTATAACATTCAATATGTTCAACAAATAAATGTATATTAAGTATAGATTACATACTGCCAAATGAAGAAAGCCTCTTGGTCTTTGTTTCTTATATTCTTCTTTCTGGAAGAAAATAATATGAAGCAAAATCAATAGCTAACACAACATGTACAATATTTGAAATATGGCAATATATATAGATGTGTACTGATTGATATTTTATTCTTTGATGCATGATTTGTTTTATTAGTTGTTATTGGCTTTGAACTAGCTGTCAATAACTGTGAGTACTCTCAAATCTGTACTTAGTGTCTTTTTGATGTGGGAATGTATAAGTACCCTGCCACGTCCACTCTGTGTTTTTGCTAGATGTTTATAGTTTGTTCTTATGTTGTACTGTCACACCACTGTCCCAGATTAGGGGAAGGTTGGCGCCTTCAAACTAGTTTAACCCCGCAACATTCTGTATGTGCCTGTCCCAAGTCAGGAGCCTGTAATTTAGTGGTTGTCGTTTGTTGCTGTGTAACATATTTGTTTTTCTTTCATTATTTCGTACATAAATTAGGCCATTAGTTTTCTCGTTTGAATTGTTTTACATTTGTCATTTCGGGGCCTTTTATAGCTGACTATGCGGTATGGGCTTTGCTCATTGTTGAAGGCCTTACGGTGACATAAAGTTGTTGATTGCTGTGTACTTTTGGTCTCTTGTGGAGAGTTGTCTCATTGGCAATCATACCACATCTTCTTATCTTTATATGTATATATTAGAACTATCTGTTCACATCTATAATCTACATGTATCTGTTAACGAATCTGTAAACTTTATTTTTAACTACAAATTTAGAATAGGAAAGCAAAGTTTTGAGATAAGAACCATCTGTTGTTCCCCCAAAAAGCCAGTGTTTGACTTAATTGTATGCACCTACCTCAAAATATTCCAGCATGCCAGATTGAGGATCTAAGAGAAACCATCTGTGCTGCCAGCCTTTCATCACATTGGTATACTTGTTCAGTGTCCCTTCCATTGGTTGTCTTTAAGAAGACATAATAATTAAAGAAACTTACAAATGTATGAAGAGACTATATTTAAAAATTAGTCTAAATACTGTAAATTCAGAAATTATTGCGTGCATTTATTATTGCGATTTTTAAGAATGGACGGGACAAAAATGCGAGTTTTATTATTGCGATTTCGAAAAAAAGTGCATACATGTACAGGTCTATATTTTAGTTATCAGAATGCAAGTTCTTATTATTGCGATACTCACTCAGTCACATTATTCGCATTAATAAATACCTCGAAATAATTTCTGACTTTACAGTAACCCAATCACGCCAATACAATCATGACAATGAAAATGGTATAAGTTGTCTGTTTCCATTCTTCATAATGACCATGTTGACTAAAGAAAAAAAAAATCATTTTCATGGATTTGATTTTACAAATGTTTTATAGCAGAAAATAAGAAAATGAATAATTTTTACAAAAAAAAAATTTCATCTTGTATCCAAAAAAGATGTTTTACTAGATCAAGATGGCCTTATTTGTACTGTAGGTACATATGTACTAAAATAACATACCTTCGGTTTACTACTTTGTCTTCAGTTTCTTCAAATTCCTACAAAAATGTTAAGTACATTGTATAAAAAAAAAACATAAAACAAAGGCAAGTGTGAAGGTATTTAATTTTTTAAACCATTCCTGTCAATCTAGTATAGATTTCCAGGTAATAAATTAGAAATGAAATACATATACTATTTCCTGCCTCATCACAACTAAGAATAGGGTTCATTGGTAAAATGTAAAAGTAGGCACATTTGTGTACATATGTACATGAAGGTATGAAATTATTATCCATTATCTAGCTTTTAAAACTGTACAAAGAGTATTATATATACGTATATATGCTAAACAAACTAATTTTCGTGAGCTATTTGTTTTCTTGGCTTTTGTGAGTAGACAAATCACGTGAATATTAATCCGCCATAAATCGTCGCAAATATGTGACACTTGAGTCTCTATTGTAAATACTTAACCTACAATATTTATGAATTTTTAGAATTATACAAGCGTTGTTTGGTTGTACAACTCTAAAGATTGTTATAGTTAAATCAGAAATATTCTTGACTTAAAATTTAACTTTAATGGGGCTGAAATAAAAATGTCTGTCCTGAAAATTTATGGTAGGCAGGGTTCACCACAGACATGACCAAATGAAAATCAAGGGTGGGGGAGAAAGTTCATCAAATCAGAGATTGTGTGTTGCGTTGTCGAATCGTTCTTGTGCATAAATTGTTAATTTTATGCCTTACAAGTTTTTGTCATATATAGAAAATTTGGAAAGGGGGTCTCACATACATTTTGTAGTTGATCCTATCAGTGGTCACCACACTTTTGGGAACATATTAAACAGGGAGAAGTAAACACCTAATGTGGCTTCCCATATTGAAGGGAAACTAAAGTGAGGGATCCACATATAATATTGCTTTTCATGTGATAAAGTATGCATTATACAATTTAATTATTTCAAAGAGCTTTCTGACAAATTTAGATTTAATTTAAATTGTCTTATGGAAAACCACATGGTAAGATAGAAAAGATAAAGGAAATAATAAAATAAAACATATTTAGTCATACAGAATTTCAAATTCATTTCAACCAAATTAAGTCTATCCAGCAGTTTGATCATATTTGTTATGATGTAGAATGTTATTAAATCCCCCCCCCCCTCTCTTTTCCAATACAATTATGTACAGGAATTATATATATCCAATTTTACTCTTTCCCTAAATTATATTCATTCTTTAAATGAGTTTTAAGATAATGACACTCTTATCCCAGCTGTTGATCTAACTGACAGTCTATAAATAACCAGACAATGTTGTCTGTTATTTAGGTGTTCCCCAGTACTTTCTTGCCAAAAGAGCACATGTGACATGGTTGAGGGGCCTGATGGGGGGTCTCATCACGATTCACAAGTTGATTTTTTTGTCAATCACGATTCACAGAAAATAAATTTCCATGATCACGGAAATTTTATCTGTAGAAAAACGGATCATGATAGCGAAAATGCACCGATCACAAAGAACGAAAATAACCCATCAGGCCCCTCATGGTTGTCAACAAAAGGAACATGTTGTCAGGGAATTCATTTGTTTTCTTGATTATTGCTTTTATTAATTTAGTTTGGATATAAACATTCCATTTAAGATACAGTCAAGCATTTGCATTTATAGAATACTGGTAGTTTGCAAACAATTTTTACTATTCAAATTGAAGAAACTGGTTCATGATCGTTCATTGGATGTTACCTTGTTCAATCATGCAAGACCATGTAAATAATATAATCAGCTGTCAGTGTACATCCCTTGAGGCAGTGTTCGCACCAATTAACAATAATTAGATTTCTTAATTGCCCCTGACATGATAGTTGGATTAGGGATATCTGGAATTTAACTTCAATCTATTGAATTTTCAAGTTTGGCGGACAATAAAATAAGTGTGGCGCTGAGAATTTTAGCATGGTGCTAGAAATTTAAGTGTAGCCCACCGCCACGCTTAAACAGGTCATGGTGATACCTGGTATGATGAAGACAATTTTGGCCAAAGCAGAAGCAATACAATGTTAAAATTCTTTTTAGGACAGTTACACCAATAAGAAGTCAATTGAAAGTTTCATCATATTTACATTTTTGTAGATCTAGTATTGCTGATTATTTTTGCAATTTACTGATTCTGTCCATCAATCATAGTTTTCACGATAAACAATCACATGAATCATAAAAGGCAATCACATTTAACATGTTAAAATTGCCTAAAAATTGTCCTTTAAGGGCAATATCTTGATGACATTTTCAGTCTTATTGTTATTTTTGAAAATCGTGTATTGCTGATAATATTTCTGGTTTACAGTTTCTGATCATCATAAATTTCATCAGGACGAGGTCTGACACTTAAAGGTTTTGTGTCTGTCCTATTATGTTTGATTCATACAATTTCTTTTTAATACCAGAATTTTTTTGAACTATATGCTGATTTCTAACATCATTAAAATGCTTTATGGGTTTTTCTGGAATTGTGCATGCTTGACATTTTACCAACACCCATCTTTACTCTGCCTAAAGAAATATATAAAGTTCATTGAACATGTTGAAGTTTATCTAAGCAGTTATTAGGAAATTATCTCCATTAGAATATTCATCCCTTTAAAATTTACTCAAAATACTGACGTAGATTTTATGCCCAACAAACATACATGTACAGATGACGTCAAATTATGTCATCTAAAAGCAAACACTTTGTTTTTTGTTATGTTTTTATGGAAATAATAAACATTCCAACAGACATAAAATCAATATTGTCACCATCAAAGAGGGAAACCAATGGAGTAGCATATTAAATAGGGACTTTCTCAGTTATAGTACAATGTAGGTGCAGATTTTCAAAATGGAGGTGAAAATGCTTGAAAAAGGGAAAAACAGAGAAACATCATTGAAACAGAACAGCTGATTGAAAACATGCATAGGATTTCCCATACTTTCATACTATTTCCACCTCTATCCAAAAAATCTGTCCCCTATCCAATATGGCTGCAGTTACCGTGAAGTGGCCTAATTTTGGGGAATACATAGCAAAACGAACAGTATGATTTCAAGAACTGGCAGGCCCTGAATCCTGATCCTGCACCTAAACAAATATACTTACCTAACATAAGAAAATACTTTGAGTACCATATGAGGAAACTAAAATTTACTAAGAGACAAGTTGGGTCAATTTGACCTTAGAATCAGGTCATTTTATGTTTGTAAAATGAAAAAAAAAAATAATAGATGGCCTTAGTAACAAGATTCAAAATCAATTCATGTAGTTATAAATTAGACAAAAATTAGTATCAGAATGGTAATTTATTTTATAGGAACTTCCCATCTCTCACCTGATCACAGGTAACACCTGCATTATATTACTTTAGGTAATAAAATGTTTATTTTAAAAAGGAATCTAAGCCATCCTAATGTACATGAAGAGTCAAGATAAATGCCTTTTCTTACTATGAAATATATGTGTCTATTCCAGGAGATGGTCAAATGATCAACTTAATTTGCATGGTTGCAAGGAAGGGGTGTCAACATCGGCTTATGACACCGGAATCTCAGGTGGCGACACAATACAGGATGTTGACGTTTAAATTTACTTTTTGAAAGGGGTTCACTGGGGAAACTCGTTTTAACTAACGAATATCTTTGCCATTTCTTTTTGCAACAAATGGCTACCTTAGCTCGCTGCATTACAGCAATTACTTGTAGTCTTTCTGTCTCTGATAAACTTGATAAGTCTGGCATTTCAGCAATATTTCGATTTTCCTGCGATTCCATATTTCGCATTCACAAACTTCCGGTGAAAAGTAATTGTAATATGCAGAAGATTTCGGAATATTTTTCCGGAAAATGTCTGGCACTGATAGCACTAGAGAAACAAAAAAAAAAAGGTTTCTTAAAAAAAAGAAAATGTAATCGAGAACCTAAATGCCGGTTTCAATGGTTTGAAATACCTAATTGAAGAAACGAGGGACTTCTGGTAATTGTTATACAACGATGCATGATTTTACCTCATTTGTTGTATAAACCATGATGGATCATGATGATACAAATTAATACAAGTACACAGTTAAATAAAAAACACAATTACAATATTTGACAAAGGCCCATATTTCAGTACATTATTACAATGGATACAGAATAATGAAATAATATGTTATAATTAAGAAGATAAAATCTCATTTCTATAATCTAGACATTTACGTATATAAGAACTATAGTCACTTTCAGGACTTTTTAAGATTTGCTATTAATGCACATTTCATATTTACCTGATTCTCACTATGACTTGTTAGAAGTATTTTTAATATAATACTTTTAAAACTTATTTTGTAGTTAAAATATTTTTCACACTTCAGTTGAAATGATTCTCATCTTCTACCTCACTCGATATACACACATTGCAAAGTCGTTCATTGGTGGGTAGACCTAAATGTCGCCCTTTTTCTATGGCAAGATTGTGTGCACTCAATCTGATTTTACACAGAGATTACCTTTCTATTTTTTTCCTTAGAACATCAACGTTAGAACTACGCTGATTAAATTTGAATGATAAATTTTTTGATAAAATTTTAGTTTGGATCAATTGTAAATTTTTGATGATTGATCCTGTGTGCACTGATCAATCACTCGTTGTTTAATATACTTGATAGATATTGTTTGATAGAACATTTTCTCCCAGCTGGCTTGAAAATCCTAGATGATGAAGAAATTTGTCATGGATTCTTAACGTAACTGCTGTAGGGCATAACATTCTTGTTAAAGAAATCATTTTCGAGACGCAACTACTGGATGCTCCATTCCGAGGTGCTGTTTTGGAAATTAGAGTTAGCTTCCTGGTTTAGGTCGAAATGTAAATATGAAAACAGTTTTTGTTTTATGAAGAGGTTTAATGAAATGAATAATGATTATTTATTTTGTTTTGCCAGTTTGAAAATAGTCAAAAATCCTGAATTCTTGTTTGGTAATCCCGAACTAAAACCGTTTGGGAAACCAATCTTACTGATTAATATCAATAGTAATATTACTCTTAATATCAATATTAAGAGCACTAGAATATTAATATTACTAATATTACTAATATTAGTATTACTTATATTACTAATATTAATATTACTAATATTACTATGATATTTCACTGATTGTTAGATTTTTACAAACCAGGTGTTGAAAGACAGTCATGTGCACAGAATTTTTAAAAATGTATTTGTTTATTTGGCCATAGTTTTGTTGAAATATAATTCGAATTTATAAAAAAAAAATAAAAGTAATAATACTTGTGTTTATATCATTAGAAATTGAAAACACTCCATAACAAAAAAAAAAAACATAACAACATACACAAAAATGATACACTTGTAATAAGTGTACTTCTATTGGTACCAAACTGATTGAAATCCTACCAGATATGACCTCACTATATTTTTTTCTTCAAAATCGTAGTTTTATCAGACATATAATATATGTATTTTATGTCTCAGGTTTTATACAACCCGACTAATCCAGTCGTTATATTTCGACTCACCACCGATTGCTACATTAGGGGAGGGACTATCCGACAGAGAGCGCAGAATCATTCGAGTTATGTTCCATATGAAATATATGGCGTATACTGACATTTGTATTTCTTTAATAAATGCATAAATAAAAATAACAGTATTTATTACATTGGTTGCAATGAATTACATTGATTTCCCATTGTAATAAACAGTGGCGGATCCAGAGGGGGGCGTAGAGGGCGTACGCCCCCTTTGCTTGTACTTTTTTTTTTGTAAAATGATTAATCAGACTAGACTTCGTGAACTTTGCCATTTCCCGTGTATTTAATTTTTATGCGACAATTCTTTACTTATAAAGATATTGTTCGCTCGTATTTACTGTAATATTTTATTGAATATGTCAAAGTCATGTGATTCTCTACGGTGGAGTTGACCAGTTCGTCGAAAAAAAACGTCACTCAGTCATTTTGAAATTCAAATTACAGTAACACATTGCTTAGGCTGAGGATGACAAGCCTTCAAAGCGACAAAGTATTGAACAAGAACGTATTGACTTCTATTTCACAATTCAACCCAACAGAAAGTAATACTCTATTACACTCTCATGAAAAAAAAGTTCCACAGCAATATTATTTACCTATGAAAAGGGAAAGACGACAACAAAATGGAAAAAAAAAGAAAAAAAGCAAATTAAAAAAAAACCCAACATAAGACAAAACTATAAACAGAAAACTAAAGATTGAGCATGACAAAACCCCACAAAAACCGTGGGTTAACTCACATGATCCAGATGGGTAAACAGTTTCTGCTCAACTAACGACACTGGTGGCAGCTCTCCCATTATAATCTGTTTATCAGTTGTAGCCACAGATTGGGCTACTTGTAATTTATAAAGGACTGGTAAACAAGTATTAGCAAAAATACCAAGCTCCAAGGTAAATTCCGAAAGGTGGAAGTCTACAAACCTGACAAAATCATAAGCTCGACTACACCAACTAACGGAACGAATGGATAACAACTGCCATATTCCTGACTTGGCACAACCAATTTTTTGAACAAAATGGTGGGTTAAACCTGGTTTTATAGCTAGATAAATATCCCACTTGTATGACAGTTGTTTAGTTCTGTTATATTGCTAAAATTGGGTGATCAACCCAAACAGACATGATTGGTTAAGGGGACAAAAATAGACTTGAAATCAAGCGAATTAAAAATTCAAACAAACATAAAAATAAATCTAACAAAGAAAACAACAAAAACTGTTTGTAGTTTTAAATTACACACTTAAAATATTTTCATATACACCTTCCCGATAAAGTGAGTTTCATATACATGATGAAAAACATTTTTTATTTTCGTGTACATCATCTCAAGATAAGAGAAATTGTTTAAATTCCACTATTAACTCACTGTGCCCAAACTTTACGCATTTGATTCCTAGCCAAAAACTGATATGGCTTCTTAATGTAGAGAATCTCGATATCTTGATATCTGTCTGTGAGTTAGTTGATGAAGACAAAATATAACTTGAAAGATAAATATTTAAATCAGGCTTTCTGCACTAGGCACGAGGTTGGCATGGTGGGGTACAGGACACATCATATAAGTTCTATTACCTTTCTGTTTGTGATATTTCATGATTAGGCTGGTAATATGTTATCTTTTCGTAATATGTGCACTTTGGCATGTCAATTAGCATTGCCCCTTGGTGCCTCTTGCAGTTGTGTCACTTTAAATAGTACTGACTCCTCTGCACCAGGCACGAGGATGACATACCAGTTATGTGCAACTTCTTACAATATCTTACCATATCATTAATCATGTTAATGTCCCGATACACATTTTAATATGCACCCACCATGCCATATAGCACCGTCCCTTGGTGCTTCCTGCAGTTAAGCTAGATATATTTAGCCTACTCACTGAATTCTTTTTTTTTTGTTACTTTCTAGAGGTGTGCCGGAGACGAAGGTTTTATATATACTCCTATATATATATACGAATATGTGAAAACTGTTGTTTCTTATTTGTGTTTGTAACTTTGTATACTGTATTGTTTATTATATTTGCAAAAATAATATTATAATGATATTATAATTATAATGCTCCTTGTGAGCCCATTTGATGGAAATAAAGCATCTTCTTCTTCTTCTTCTATACACTTTCCCGATAAAGTAAATTTCATATACACTTTCCCGATAAATTAAATTTCATACACACTTTCCAGTTAAAGTAAATTTCATATATACTTTCCAGATAAAGTAAATTTCATATACACTTTCCCGATAAAGTACAAATGTAAATGATTTTTCTCAAACGAAAGACACCAAGAGGTCACTATACGGCCTCCAACAATTCTATTTGTCTATACAACATAGCAACATCTAAATCGATCGAGTCTTGAAAAAGGTGAATGAATATAAAAGGGACCCTACTATAACTATTATCAACGACAACGCACACAAAACACAAAAGACAACCACTAGCAAGGTTCATTGCTCTCAAAATTCAGTAGATCTGACACACAGCACCAAATGCTTCTTCTATTAACGCATCATGCCAGCGGTACCCTTGTGATTTCCTTATAACAATGGATAGTTCAGTTGGTCCTAGGCTTGGTTGTCCGTCGTTTGTATTCCAGAAAAAATATTTCATTGAATCTCCATTGTTAAATCTCCATGTTGTTGTTACACTGGTACGATCGCCCTGAATTCTTACTTCGCCATCGACTACTTGTGCTGAAATATATTTTGTAATCAGCAATACATAATTAGGAAAAAACAAAACCCTTAAAATTGAAACTCATAATTTTTAACCACCCTCTTTCGCTTGCTTTCTAACTAATAAAGCTTACTGTTTGTGTATTCTATGTGCATATGTATGGAAACAACAATTTCCGTAGATTTGATTTCCAACAGTTAAAATTGTTAAATATAATCTCTTTTTGGTATAACCATGGCAATAATCTGCATTTATTTGATACAAAATATAGGAAAAAATGGGAAAGGGGTGAAAATGTTCCCCAAAATTTGGTCCAAAGTAGAATTGCAATCCATTTGAGTGATACCTTTTCTGAAACCATTGACACT